GCCGCCAAGCGGTACAAACGCTGAAGAAGAAGAAGAAGAACATTTTACAGCTCCACAAATTCTAGAGCCTTCAAGATTCTACTATTTGAAAATATTAGTCTTGCTGTCTCCCCTCCCTTCCCCCTCCCCCTACTCCAAAGCTAACGCGATGCGAGAGTAGATGGATGCATCTGATTAACGATTGCTACTCACAGATCCACGAGGGGACTGCCATTGTCCTTGACGTCGGCTCTCTTGGAAGGTGAAACGTCCTTCCACGTACTGCTGACCTATAGAAGCTTTTTTTAGTGTTCCTTTCATGTATCAACAAATTCTGGTAATTGAAAATATAGGAGACAAGTGAGGATCTACTGTACTAGTTCTCGGCGGCAACACACAATTAGGGGGTGGCCAGAATTAGCAGGGCTTATCAGCAATACCTAATGAATACAGGCATATCATATTAAGCTGTGGGCAACTGAAAATCTATCGGCGCGCTAAGGAAGCCCTAATGTGTAAGGTAGCAGCAATTTAGCGCTCGCCTACATTTTTAACCCTTTCGGTCCTGGCGGTGCCAGCTGTCACCACCAAGACTAAAAGTGTCTGCATTATCAGCGCGACAGCACCTTTTCAACCCTTTCGGCCCTGGCGGTGGCAATTGCCACCACCAAATTCAAACGCTTGCATTGCCGCTGAAACAGCATGGTTTTTCTAATCCTGCTAGAGGTTGCTTCAGTCAACCTTCCCCTTCCTAATTATGAGCTAAACCTGCCATTTCATTGTGTGTTGCTGTTAGTATTACAAGTATTTGTGTACAAGTGCAACAATGAATCGGCGCTGACCCCCGCAACCGGCCAAGTAAGTGTCACTTTTTCTTAAAATACTTGAAGTAGATCCATTCCTAAATCAAAATTATGGGTTATAATGTTATGCAAGATTATAAACTTTTTCGGCATAACTATGAAATTTCGAATTGTTTCGACATAAGCTTAAAAACTAAGAAGGTGGGCCAATTTTCAAAGCTTCTTAGTTTCTTTGTTTGTGATCGAATAGCTTCCAAATTTCGCCATAATGATACCTATATGCTCACAAGTAATAAACAATAGCTAGAAGAAAAATTTCTCCACGGGGAAAAATTCAGGTCCGAAAGGGTTAAAGCAACAGTCCCAGCAGGGTTTTACCTTCGACACTAATGGTGTGGAACGATGCGCTAGCCCTAGTCAAGAACATAAGAAGTGTGATTGAACAAAAAACTCACCTTGGAAAGCCGCTAGAAAGGGAGCTGAACGGCTCCGAAGTGGGCGTGGTTGGAAATCGGCTGAGGGATTGCAGCCGATTTCCAACCACGCCCACTTCGGAGCCGTTCAGCTCCCTTTCTAGCAGCTTTCCAAGGTGAGTTTTGTACAAACACACTTCTTACGTTCTTTTCCAAAATACTCGCTAAATATTAATGTTGTTTCCGAAACCTTGAAGTACAGTGTTGTGCAAAACCATGAACTTTTCTAACATGACTAAGAAATCCGGAATCCTTTCGACAAAGACAAAACAAAATTTCTGTGGCAATTTCCACAAACAGCAATTGTCATACTATAGCAATTTTCTTGCTCCTTAGTTTATGGCCGGATCGATGCCAAATTTTGTTATAGTTCCATTTATTGTATGTGCTTATGTGATGACCAATAAGAATAAATTTTTCTCACGCGAAAAACAATTTGGAGTTGAATGGTTAAGCCACCCTGCAACGCTGTTCTAACCTCAAGCGTCATATAAGCCTTACCATTAAGCTCTCCAGGTTGCGATCCGAGTTGTTGATTGGAGTCACTGTTCTGAAACATTTCTGTATAGTAGTATAGGCTAAGCAACCTCTGGCTAGAATAAATTCTGTGATTTCAAAAGAATCCACACGCACAAGAAGGCTTCAAAGGCTTGCGCATTTTGAACTATCAAGATACAGGGTGTCCCCAAAGCAATGCCACTCGTGTGTTGATTGTATATTTCAGTATTTTTTGCAAAGCTTGGAAAAGTAAGTAACAGAAATTGAACAAAAGCATCTTTTCAGTTCATGAGCCACCAGGAGCCCCAAAAAACTACTTTCTGGTTGCCAATCTGAAGTAGCGAATTGGAGGGACGAGATTCAGTGACGAACAACGAGTTGCAGTCCGTCCTAGAAGAGCATTTCAGCGCACGTGATAGTATTTTTTTACGGTTTAATCCAATCGAGTGCTGCTGTGCAGTACCAGGGTCAACCGTCCGTTCGAACTGTTCGAACGAAGGGGTCGCATTTTGGTCGGAAGGGGGTCGCAATTTCGAGGACTGCCAGCCACAGGCGCGTGCGTGGCGTATCCGAGGGCAAGAATTGTTTGTGCAGACCGCATTAGATTCGATTAATTATGCACAGAGAGACAGTTTTCTAGGCAAATTACGGTGTTTTCCTTGAGGAATAGAGAACAGTTTGCATGCATCTGAAAGGTTTGACTTCTCGGGGCTGAAATTATTAAGTTTCTTCATGGGACTGATTCCAGACAACGGTAAAACATATAAGGAAGCCGAAGTCTCGTAGTCTTCAAAAATGTCTTCGCCCCTCCCCAACAAGTTCTTTGAAGGAAGTTATTATTGCTGAAAGCTCAAAAACTCGCATGTGCTGCTCAAAAACCTATGAGAACAAAATGTTCGAACGTGTGATTTTCTCGGAAAATGGATTTTGAAAAACGGTTCGGTGCTTCAGAAAGAGCAAATCCTGCACTTTCACCCCATGGAAAAAGTGCATCACAGAAATGAAAATGAAGTGAGTTATGCCCGCTTAAAAGCAAACTTCGCGCGATTCAAAACAAAAGTGCTTTAGAACCCCCCAAAATGTTCGAACGTGTGATTTTCTCGGAAAATGGATTTTGAAAAACGGTTTTAGGGCTTGTTAGAAAGAGCAAATCCTGTACTTTCACCCCATGAAAAAGTGCATCACAGAAATGAAAATGAAGTGAGTTATGGTCGCTGAAAGCCCAAAAACTCGCTTTTGCACGAAAGTGTAAAGGTTGTGGGCGGCGGGGGACAATCTGGCTTGCTGAGAAGGCGGGGAACTAATCATCTAAAGTTTATACTGTTTTTGTTGATATGATGAAATATTTGTGTTTCCAAACGTGTGTGCAGAGTTTCGCAGAAGTGGGTCGCATGCGAAAGATTTTATGGGCCTTCAAAGTTGGTGAAGGTGCGCCTTCTTAGAATTTTGGGTTTTCCACTTCTAACAGAAGTACTTTCCGGAGAGTTAGGCAATCCTTGTAGTTTTCTGAAAGCGCACCTCAGGCACAAGTCAAAATCTACCTCAACAAGTCAAAAAAATACGTCCCAAGAAAGTTATTCCCCTCTAAAAATTTTTTCTTCGCCGCGTCCCGTTCTTCCAGCGCCCGGGTGATACCTGCCGCGCCCAAGGCTGACGCGCAATGCAGACGCTGTCTGCGGCGGCACAGACGCTTTCTGGCGCAACGGATTCATGTCTAGCACTCTTATTAACAAAAACAGGGGGTCGCAAAAATCCCGAAAATGTTCGAACGTGACGGTTGACCCTGTGCAGTAGGCCGCCACACAGAGAGATCGTTATTTTTGATTTATTCAACGTTCTTCTGAGGAACAGATTCATCAATAAGCTTTTCCAAGCATAGGAGATAATGTGCAGTTGGACACTGATAAAATTACATCTAAGTTATAGGTGGTAGGTCGTGTGCCATCGGTTTCACCCCCTTCTAGGTCTCTCCCTTTGCATGTTAACGTTTCGAGGCAAACAATAGTTTGATCGCTCTGTAACCAGTTCTTACTCATTATAATAATTATCATTCATGATTGCGTAACTATTTAGCCGACTGGATTCTCTTTGTGACTGACATCAAAATCACCAACTTTGACTTATTGAGACAACCATCTATAGATGGTACACAATGGAGCCTGATCTCTTCAATTTTCAGCAAGCTTGATGAGCTTCAGCAGGTGATTTCTTCAAATCTAATAGCAGGAGAAGGGAAGGTCAGCAAAACCCGATTGATTGAGCCTCCATCTGTAACGTCATTTGAGGCGGGGAAAATCTATTATACAGTGGCGCTCAAAAGTCTTCGGTGGAACTGTGAGCAGCAAGTCAGACTTCTTGAATGGCCAAGCCAATCCCCCGATCTAAATCCCATAGAGCACATGTGGGAAGAGCTCAAAAAAGTTGTTCCGGCAAATATAGCAAAAACAAAGAAGAAAAGTTCGCTGAACTAGTGAAAGAGTGGTACGCCATGCCAATGTCTACCATCCAAAAAATTATCGGTTCGATGCCTTTCGGCTGCGCAAGGTCATCAAGATATGTCGAGCGTCTTTCCTGCAAAATAATACTTGTGCTTGTAGCTATATTGCATTTTTTTCTCGAATAAAATGAGTTCATTCCTAGCCTAGCTCCTGTCCGCACTGATCTTGAGTTTGATCTCACTAATGTACCGTGAACTAAAGCGCATTGCGGCCAAATAGCCGCAATTATTCACAATATGTCATTGATCAACATACTGCAGTTTCGGTGGATTTCATGCAGTAGGAAAAAAGTTACGCTTGAAAGAGCATTTCCACCGAAGACTTTTGAGCGCCACTGTATATCATAATGAAGAGACATGTCACGTGTGACAGTTTCAGCACTTATGCCCTTCCGGTCTTGGAGGGTTGAGTTCATGGCAGTTAACACTAATGACTTGAATCTGGTAGTCAGGGCAAGTTGTTGTGTATAGCACATGCGGCCCTAGCGTTCTGGGCCCCTGCATAGTGATTGCGTAGCGCCTCTTGAATGGACTGATCAATGCTGAGCGCTGTTGCTCATTCCTACAGTTGACGTTTGAAGCCTTGAGGATTCCTTCAAAATCTTTCTATGAGCAATGTATCGAATTTGTGCAAGCTGAATCACCGATCCATCTCCATTAATCCCCGGAATTGGGGATTGCTCCCAATGCCGCGACTGTGGATTCCACTCCCAGCCTGAAACTAATATCAAAAACTCAAATTCTGTTAATATTTTGCCACATAGTTCACTAAAACATCTTCTGCGCACCTCGACATGGTCTCGGTCTTATAGCACAGCGGTGAAAAAATTCACCATTACTTGTGGAGCCTCTTTGTTGAGTGGTTTGCGATCCAAACTGCTGATCGAACCTACTCTGCCAGTCCTGTGAATAATGTCAAGTAAGTCCAAGCTTAAGTTTAACAGAAGGAAATGAAGAGACTATTTCATGAGAAGAAGATTCCCGGAGCATGTACCAGCTAGAATTGCTCATACTCGTTGGTACATTTCTCATGTTTATTGTATGACATGATGAAGTTCCCATTTATGACTGCTGTATGAGCGTAGGAAGGGGTACATTCTGCGAGGTGGATGGGTTCAGTGAGAAGCGAAGTTCGTGCATTATGCAAGTTGGTTTTTATGCGCTTTTTTGCCCTAGAAATCACAAAATGAAAGATAATTTCGACAGAAGCCCGAAAATATTTGACGGTGGACCGAGTCTTTGAGAAGAAGCAACGCGTTTCGCCCCTCATTTCTCTAATTACCTGTGGTAGCTTGCCTGCATTTCGCAAGCCTGCTTCGATGGTGGATTGAACGTAAGGAGGAGTATTTGCTGGTACAGGTGGTACCTGAATGGAAAATGAAATCGTTAGTTGTAGAAATGTTTTCTGCCAATGCGCTAAATCTCTGCGAACCTTTGGATCTAGAAGAAACCTATAACGAGGGCATAACGACGGCCGGAGTGCACTGCGTTCCAGTACCGGCGTGACTGGTCTGAAGGTATTACGTTGATTTGCCTGATTTGTAAAAGTCGTCAAACAAATTTAAGCGTGACTACGAATAGCTTGCTTTGATTAGTGTTCACAGACGTTGCTTTCAACTTGTAAAATTCAGCTTTCATGAGAAAATAATTTTAAGTTAATCGATCTAATCTTAGATAGCAAATTTTGAATTCTTAACAAATTCGTTATCAAATCAAACCCTCGAATGCGGCGCGTTTGGGACACCGTCATGTTTTGTCTCAATAGTTATAAAGTTTTTGTAGTTTCATACCTCAGCACTCCCGATTTTGGGAACTCACAAACAAATTCCTTTCACCAAAAACAAATCCACCAAAACACGCTTTTCATGCGCTGTTTCAACACGGTCATCATAGAAGTTGCAACGATGTTGGGGTTAAAGAGTAAGAAATTTTTTAGCAGCATTCTACATGCACACTAGCAGTAATAGGAATTTGGAATTAATATCATAATATTTAAGTGTAAAATATGTCAAAAATTACCGGAAATCGGAATCGATCAAGCCAAGGTCAAGCAAACGATAGTAGAGCAAACCAAAGCAGTGCTGGCATTCCAGTGTTCTGCATGACAACGTCACAGCGTCCTGAAACATTCTGCCAACCTCAGCAAGCTACGACCTTGAACTATAACCTGGAAGTTTGGACTTTCTAAGGTGACTAAAGCCACTACAGGTGTGCTAGGTGATATATTTCTTTGAGCATTATAGGAAAGATTGTAACCCTTATAGGGATGGTTTGCAAGGCTACTATCATGAATGTACGCGAACTTCAGTGCAAGGAGAAGGTTACGTTGTACCGCTAGATAGTGCGAAACAGCGCTCCCCAACGGCTAGTGGGAACTTTTTCTTCAAGTACTTCGACGAATTAGCAATTCGTAAATTGACGTAGTAATTACACTCTTTTCTTTTATTCGAAATGCTGTTCAAATGTGATGCTGTAGTGAAAGAGGGGGAACGCTAGCGGGCATTAGAGGCCGCGTGGCGCAATGGATAACGC